TTACATTTGATAATGGATTGGCACATGATTATTGCACCAACATTATGAAAGTTCTGCCAGTATTATTAGAGATTCATTACTAGGTTCAAATTATAATTTTATATTCAAAAGCACACCAGGCATAATGAAATTTTGGCTACATTATTCACATGATATCAAAATTACATGAAATTTTGGTTTCAGAAGCTTATACTAAATTACGTAAAATTACACAAAATTACGGTAATTTTACAACCCTAGATCTAAGTATTCAATGTAGTAAGATTCAATAAAGTAAGGATCTTCAAAAATCTTTCCAAAATTATATAATAGTATTCGCCTTCATGCAGATTTAGGTATATATGTAGGGAATTTATGTACAACTTTTGAATATAAGAACTCTCTCCCCATTAATCCTCATAATAAGTGATATCGAATCTGAATCATCTAATAAAGAACATTCTTTAATAAATTCTGATACTTGGATCGATGATTACAGAAAACGGCTTCTAACACCAGCAGATATGCATCTGAAAAAAAAGAAAACTACTCATACAAGCGTTTATGTTAAACGAATTGATAATAAAAAATTATTTCCTCCAACAGTTTTACCAGTAACAACAAAGTCAAAAACATATAATCTAGTTAAATGAAAACTTTAAATCAATCACTGCTAAATGCAAAAAGACAACATAAAATTAACCAAGACCGGGCAGAAGTTTATAGCAAATTCTTTCAATTCAAACTGATATATGATGATGTTCAAAAAAAATCTTTTACTTTTCAAAAGGATAAAGATAATGAAATAAATAAATTGATCAAACTATCTATTCCTGATGAATATAGCACAGAAATATCACATTGGAGAAAGGCTTTCAATTTGGTTGTGCTTGTAATAGAAAGTAAAGATATTTGTCTTGAAGATTTTTTTGAAGAAATAAGAGATTTGAATTTTACATTTAATTATCTTCAAGAAGTTGATCCAGTGGATTTTAAGACTTTACTTGAAAAAATAGTATAAATTTATAAGCAAAAAATGAAAATTCAATAAAGTAAGTATCTTTAATTTTAAATAATTTTAGTGCAAACTCTCGAA